CGAGAGGTCGACAGGGCCCATCGTGGACCCAATCGGGGACTCCCACAGACACGGCCATCACCTCTCTTCTTTTCTGTGTAGCGAGTTTCTCAGCCAAGAATGCTGTCCTATATATGACAATGCAGAAGTCATTCCAAGCCCGTGAATGTTGGCGTTGGCCAAGGCCTGGTTGGCAAGGACAGCTGATCCAAATTCAGACTAAGTGCCTGTTCCCACAGAAACAGATCACCACTCCCTCCAAAATGGAAGAAGTCCAGTGAAATGAACCTTCCGCCAGGACACTACTGGGTTTTGATGTGTGTTTGCTGCTGGGTTCCTCTGTAACCACAGAACTAGTCCAGTCTGGTTCGGTTCTGTCAGTAACCACATTGAGCAAAATGGTGGGTTGTGATGGACACCCAGGTTGCAGGTCATGTAACCTGAGCATGCCCAGATGAACCAAGCATACCCAGTTTGTGACCCAGAGCTAGCCAGAATGAAAGGCAACCACAGGCAGAACCTAAGTGCTCTTAGACCAAGGAACTGGGACCAAATTAAGACAGAGAGGTGCCCTGTTTTGTCACAGTACAGACTTAAGAGCCAAAGACCCATCTCCACCTCTTTGCACTACCCAATCAGATTATACATTACTGCATTTTCCTCTCTCTCTCATGGTTACTTCTCTGCCTATGAAACCGACTCCCCAACCCCAATTCAGGGAGACAGACTTAAGCATTGCCTTGTCTCCTTGCCAGCTGACTCCCAAGAAAGCTTTATCTTTTCTCAAATGCCACTGCCACAGGACTGGCTTTTGTGTGCATCGGGCGGCGAGCCCACTGCTGGGTACCACCACCAGAAGCTGACCCTGAAATGAGGATTTGCTCTCAGGAGGTGATCTCAATAAGCACCTGGCTGCTTTGTTCTAACCCTTTTTCAATTATAGGTCCCATCCTCAAGGTTTATTTGCAAAGCTCGCTTCAAGTCTCTGACTTTCGAGCCAGTGACTAGTTATAGATCCTGACCTCAGGTCATGTTTCCCTCAAGTCAAAGTACGTGATAAAAGGCAGTGCTTGAAATCTTGCCTACAGATTGAGATTTGTCCTCCACTGTCCTTCAAGACAACCCCAATAGGGGCTGTGATATACAACAGCACATTTCCAGCTGATAATACAGACTGTTCACAACATCAAAAGCCAGGCTTGCTTTTTCTTCATTCTCAGCTAATTGGACAGTAACTCTCCACAGGGGCAGAGGGACAGGTTGGTAGGGGCAAGGTGTGGGAATAAGGTAGTGACAGGCACTGGGTGGGGAGAAGTCTGCTCTTGCAAACTAAATGTACCTTCACGGCCTGCTCTGGTCCCATCTGCCAGGTGATGAAGTGTTCCTGGAAATGGTCAACTTTATGAGTCAGTGGATTAAATAGTACTTGGTATCCCATAGTCTCCAACATTCCCACTGGTAAATTGAAGCTGTTTCTCAAAAGGAGAAAAGTAATTTCACTGCAAGGGGTCTGATCTTGCTCCAGAATCTGTGGGCTTCCATTGTGATTCTCCTGGAGAGACTTGTCTCTGACTTCAGTGAGTCTCCCCATCTGCCAGACACTTGGAGAGGGCTGAGCAGCAGAGCAGCTTGGACGGCAGCCTGGGCCACCTAGAGGGACTGATTTTGCTCTGTCAGCTTTTCAGAGCACCTGGCAAATAAGTGCAAAACACCTGTGTGCTGCATGCTGTCTGGAAAATCCAGGGCTCAAGGTGCTGTGCGTTTCTTAGCTGTAGAAGAGACAAGGTGTAGTAATTTGTCCTTAACACAGGAGGGGCTATCTCAACATGTAAGACCACTGAATCCTTGAGAATTTTACTAAGGAGTCAAGTCCCTGTGTTTCTCTGAGACTCAGATTCCGTCCTTTGGCATATGTGTATCTTACCAAGGCATCTAGGATATCTGCTATTTCCTGCTCTGCATCAACAAAGTGGATTAATGTGACATCATATGGTTAGGTGAGGCATTAAATGTCCTCATGTACCAAATGACAAGAGTTGACATCCTTGGGACAGATTTGTAAAGCTATTTCTGTCCTTGCTAGGTAAAAAGAAACAACTGCTGGTGGACTCTACAAACCAAAATGGATAAAAATGAAGTAGTTAGACCAATAGTTATATACCAAATGCTAGAGGCTGTATTAATTTGCTCCAATAAAGAGACCATTTCAGGAACGGCAGCTACAATGTGGAACTTAACCTCAGGATTAAGTTTTATTGTAGAGCCCACAGTCATTCTCCAAGACCCATCAATCTCTCCTACTGGTCAACAGGAAGTACACTGTACCTTTGGGGATATGATAGGAATGACCACATATATATCATTCTACCCTTTGATGGTTGCACTGATCTCTGTAATTACCCCAAAGATATATTGCTTTTTAATGCACTATTTTGATAGGGAGGAAACGCTCCAGTGACTTCCACTGGCCTTTCTACCACAGGAACACTTACTCCTTGGGGCAGGGAGCCAATGTTTGGATTCTGTAAAGGAAGTCTGTTCCATCTACATTTAGGAACTAAGGAAATAAACCATGGGGCAGAGGGAGAAGAGAGGGGTTCTGTATCCCAGGGGGCTTATAGGAAAATGAGGTTTAAACTCCATTTATGTCTCCCACAACCCTCTATTCTGACCACAGTGGGCCACAGTATTCTCAGTTCCCCCCAAATTACTGCTAACTTGGAACAAGTAGACACTGATTTCTGAAAACTTTGGACATTTCATCAAGTACACATCACCTGAGAAAATGGGTGGGTGGAAATGTCATAGTATAATACATAAATCTATTATCATAGCACAGTTCTTAAGTCAAGGGTTCTGGTTCTGAGAATTAAACAGGTCTAGGAATTAAGAGAGGCTGTGATCTCGCTTGATTCAGGTCTCTACCTAGACCTGTAAAGTTGGTTTTTTCAAAAAGAAAAATCAGATTAAGACCTAGCTGCCTGTTGCTTTCATTCCCAGACGCCCTAAGATTACTCAAGCAGGTTCCCAGATTGCTGCAGGTCAGATCATTTCCTTTTCTCTCTCTTTTTATTTTCTTTTTTATTTGACTCTCAGCACTACTCAATGATAGATCATTTCCTAATTACCACCTCTTTCTACCCTCTCCCTCCCTATATGGACCACATCAGTTTTGCTTCTATCAGGTGAACCTTCAGCATTCCAGAAAAAACAGCAGCCAAGACAAAACTACTACTTGCTAATCGACTCCTAATGGCATGAAAAAGCAATGCTTTTGGCCAACAGAGGAGTCAGTGAAGTAGTAGATGGACAGAGCATATGAAATCTGAAGGCAGCACAGGCCAGCTCTTCATGTTTGGGTCTGTGCTATGTTAGTCAATCAGCAAACTGCAGACAGCTGTCCAAAACAGCACATTGACTATAGTACTTCCCGAAGGCATGGAATTCAACCTGATGCAACTAAGGAATGAGGCTGTGAGCAAACTGTAGTTTCTTATGACTGAGGAAGAGTTTCAAAACTGGTTTTGGTGTGTTGATTTCTCTAGTTGAGTAGTTCACAATCTTTGTAGTATGCTACAAAGGGAATCACCAGGTAGGGGATAAAGGGAGAGCTTTTAAAAATTATTGATGCCTGGATACCACCCTTAGAAATGCTGTATAATAATTGTCTGGGCTTCCAGATTTTAAAAAACACGAGGTAACTCTAGTATGAAGCCAAAGGTAAGGACCACTGTTCTAGTTTCTTCCAGATGTCCCTAAACCAATAGTCAGAACCTCATTATATCCCTTATTTTTCACATAAGAAACCAAGGAGATAAGCTAAGTCATCTAATTGTCCTGAGTTTTGCTCAATGCCTTGAGTTGAGATTTGAGAATCAAGGTTCATTCTCTCTCTTAAATTATTCAATACCCTTGGAAGCAATCACCTGACTCCATAATCCTAGCATTTTTTTCCACCACTGTTAAATGGTGGCTACTAACCAGTCTCCAAGAGCATTATCCTCAGGGAGCTCAAGGACCCTAGAGACTAAAGGCCATAGCTCGATAAGCTGTTCAGTCACTGAAGCTGCTAGCTCTCCATCCAGATTACGAGGGATGTGACACTGCCTTTCTCTCTACCCAAACACAACCACCAATTCCAAAGATCCCACATTTCCCTGAGGGCCTTTTGCCTACAACCCGTTGTCTGGTACCAATCTGGATATTAGTTAAAGGTATTTATTCTTTGCAAGTAACAACAACAACAAAAAATCAGTGACCCCAGTTAAAGAACTATAAAGATGGCCAGGCACAGTGGCTCACGCCTATACACCCAGCACTTTGTTAGGCCAAGGTAGGAGGGCTGCTTGAGGCCAGTTCAAGACCAATCTGGATAACATAGCAAGTCCCCATCTCTACAATAAGTAAGAGAAAAGTAGTTGGGTATGGTGGCATGCACCTGTAGTCCCAGCTACTTGAGAAGCTGAGGCAGGGAGATCCCTTGAGCCCAGGAGTTCAAGGCTGAAGTGAGCTATGATGATGCCACTGCACTCTAGCCTGGGTGACAGAGTGAACCTTATCTCCAAAAAAAAAAAAAAAAAAAATTAAAATATTGATTGGTCTGTTAGAGCTTGGAAATAAAAAAAGAATACACTGGAATGGAGTCTGAGATAGTTCACAGATTAAAATAAACTAATAAAGAACCAAAACTCAAGAAACAGAAAATGTCTGATTACCTCCTTAGAGAGCTACAATAAAAGCAATCCAGTCCTGATGACTCTCAGCCATTGTATCTCTCCATTCAAGTTTCAAATTCCCGTGAGAAAATCTGTTTGGCTAAGCCCGGGCTTAGGTTTCCCCTATCAATCAGCGATGATACTGACTGAAGGTCCAAGGCACAAACATGACCACTGGAGCTGTTTCCAGAAAAGGGAACTGTATACCAGGCGGCCAACCCAGTCAAAGTCTACTTCAATTAGCATGTTCCCAAGCGTCTACTTTGCAGTTGGTGAATGACAAAGGGCAAAAAGGCACAAAAGACATTGCTTAGTCAAACGATTTTAATTAACTTAAAGTCAGCAGAAAAGGTGCAATTACATGAAAAGCCCCAGCTTTTGCATGGTTAAACTGTTTTTCACTGTCTTTATTTGTAAGGTGTTGAAGGTGGGACCCACTCCTGAATCTTCTTTCTAGTGGTGGAATATGGTACATACTGCTGTGGGGTGCCAGTCACGTTGAATTTATGGTTTGTCCAAATGAATTTACGAGCAATAGGTGGTTGTATGGTTGGAGGATCATCAGTCATACAGTGAAGCCAACGATGCCTTAGAGAGGGGGGAAAAAAACAAACAGTTATGAAGAGGCAGCACACCATAGTGGAAGCAGGGTTAGGAGGGCAGCTCTGGAACTATTTTGTTGTTTGGGTTCAAACCTCAACTCAAACTTAGAGAAGCTGAACTTCTCTAAGCCTCAGTTTTTTAATCTGGGCATCTCTACTTTCTAGGGATGGTATAAGGATGAAAGGAGATAATACACATAAAGCACCTAGAAAAGGCCTTGCATGTGATAGATACTCAACAAATATTAGCTAGTGCTGTTATCATTACTGTATTCCATCAAATCTAAAACACTATCCATTGTCAGACACACTTAGAAGTACATTATTTTATGTACTTCTAAGAAAGAAAAAAAATGCTACCAATTAAATTATGATAGACTACTGATTATAATATATATCCTCATTTTAGATGCAAAAATATATTTTAGAATTGGTGAAATATTCTGGTTTGCAGCATGCTCCATTTCTGTGACCCAAAAAGGTCTAGTTGGAAACCCAAGGCTCCTGCTGAAGAAGAGAGTCTATGCCGGCATCGCAAATTCAAGCTTGAGACTGAACACTAGAGAATGTACAATTTATTGTATTAAACAATTAAATCACAGCCAAAATTCACAAGTATTTTTGTCAAAGTGCTTAGCAATTTAATTTTAAAGGATATTTGATGGGAGGTGCCAGAAATCTGTCCTAAAAGCTGGGTACATGGAGTAGACGGGGAAGAGCCCAGTGATGCTGCTGCTAATGACAGGGAAAAGAGGACTCAAAGTTTGAGGGACAAGGAGTAGAATCAAGCAGGAAGCTAAGTTAAGGAGTTATATGGGAAAGGAGGAGAAAGAATTCACACCAAATGCCCTAAGACCCGGAGCTCACAAGACAGAGATGACCCCATGGGAAAAGGGAATGAGGACAGTCATAGAACTGCAGCACTACAGCTCTAAAAAAAAAAAAAAAATGATTACCCAGCTGCAGAGAAAAGGACAAGAGGAGGAGGAGGTTTCAGTGGAATAACTAGAACTAAGGCTAATGTAAGCCTAAGAATAATTGCTAGCAGTAATTGATAGATACAGCTAGGTAACTGGTTAAAACCAGACAGCGTAGAGATCAAATATGATTACATTTTTGGTGTATTTGTGTCTAAAGATAATTGTGTCATGATCATCTTATGCAATGAAGACTGCAGAAGGCTGTACAAGCTGGGTGGTGTCTGTCTTACATCCTCTGAAGGAAGCTGGGGATTAGTGAAGTGCCCTGAACCCATAAACCGTGACCATTAATACGAGCACACCAGTGCTAAACCCCTGTGAGATGGCGGTGGTGAGCCAGACTCCGCTAACCACTCAGAGGAGGGATTAGCTGTTGAAGTCAAGGCTGTCACTTACCAAGAGGCTTTATGGGAGCTTAAGGCACAGCAGAAATATTTAACGTTTACCTTGTTGAGTCAGCTTAAGTAACTAAAGAAAAATTTTATTCAAATAATTGCTGTCAAGACTCCTGAAGGTTAAAATGATATTTAAGGAACCATAGTCCCCAGCTTATATATACCTAGTCATTTATGTAAGTGAGGAATTGAAGAGCTCATGGAGAAATAGAAAATGCTCAAAAAAAGTAAGAGATAGTTTTTATCACAATACATAAAATCCAAAAATATTTATCCTAGCAAGGCTACACGTAAGAATTAAGGAATGAATAAATGATAATCTGTACTCATTATAGCAGTTTATAGAGAGCAATAAGCAATAAGAAAACAGGCCAGGCGTGGTGGCTCACACCTATAATCCCAGCACTTTGGGAGGCTAGGGTGGAAAGATCACTTGAGCCTGAGTTTGAGACCAGCCTAGGCAACGTAGCAAGACCCTGTCTCTACCAAAAAAAAAAAAAAAAAGATAAAATAAAGAAATAAGGAAATGTTTATAGTGTGGTAGGCTAATATAACTCACTGTTATTGTTGTTATTATCATTAAATAAGGGGTAAACAAACCAGACCTTTTAAATTTCTACACCAAAAAGTTTTATTTACAAAACAGATTTTCAGCTGGGCTGTTTTTATTCCAATTAATTAAAGATGCCAGCGTACTGACAGCACTGTCTAGAAAACTGTGTTGCAGTTGGCGTTAGACACTTCAATTTTATATCCATATATCTTAAAGGACAAAATATAAAATTACTTATACTTGATAAAGTCAGTGAGGCTGCAAATAAGGAGACTGGCTGAAATGGAAAAGGTTACAAACACAAAAGAGAAGACTATTTACAATGAAAATATATTACATTTTGGGGAGGACTCAGTACTCAAACATACTAATACTAAAGTTATGTCAAAATAACTGGAAACAAAGATATTTACTCATAATTACTGTCATTTAACATTTACCTTTTTTGAATCAGCTTAAGTAAATAAAGAAAAATTTTAGCTACTCCTCCACCAAAATTATTTCTACAGTTGTGTAAGAGGAGAAAGTATGTCAAAGAATAGGGAAGGGAGACTTTCCCCTTCTTTGAAAATACACTGCTTCGCTTAAGGACCCCCTTAGTTAGAGGATGTCAGCCACTCAAAATGGAGAACAGAGGCACTTATTTGTGAAGAAAAAAGAAAATAGCCTAACAGGAAATTTAAGAAATAACAAATTTATGACATATAAAACAGATTTTAATAAATCACTGCAAGATTGGTATTAAAAGGCCGGGCGCTGTGGCTCACGCCTGTAATCCTAGCTCTTGGGAGGCCGAGGCGGGCGGATTGCTCAAGGTCAGGAGTTCAAAACCAGCCTGAGCAAGAGCGAGACCCCCGTCTCTACTATAAATAGAAAGAAATTAATTGGCCAACTGATATATTATAAAAAATTAGCCGGGCATGGTGGCGCATGCCTGTAATCCCAGCTACTCGGGAGGCTGAGGCAGAAGGATCACTCAAGCCCAGGAGTTTGAGGTTGCTGTGAGCTAGGCTGACGCCACGGCACTCACTCTAGCCTGGACAACAAAGTGAGACTCTGTCTCAAAAAAAAAAAAAAAAAAAAGATTGGTATTAAAAACACTTTAAAATTGATATTAATAACAAAGATAAGAAAGTTTAATTTTCCGGGCCAGGCACGGTGGCTCACGCCTGTAATCCTAGCTCTCTGGGAGGCCGAGGCGGGCGGATTGCCTGGGGTCAGGAGTTCCAAACGATCCTGAGTAAGAGCAAGACCCCATCTCTACTATAAATAGAAAGAAACTAATTGGCCAACTAATATATATAGAAAAAAAATTAGCCAGGCATAGTGGTGCATGCCTGTAGTCCCAGCTATTCGGGAGGCTGAGGCAGAAGGATTGCTCGAGCCCAGGAGATTGAGGTTGTTGTGAGCTAGGCTGATGCCATGGCACTCACTCTAGCCTGGGCAACAGAGTGACACTTTGTCTCAAAAAAAATAAAATTAAATTAAATTATAAAAAGAAAGTTTAATTTTCACTTTTAGAGAATTCCCAGGAGTAAAATATCACCAAATAATAGCCAATAACAACAATGTAGGCGACTCTGAATTCTTCTTCTTGGCTAATATGCATGATCAATTTTGGGGATCAGGGCTGGCTTCTAACCATATTGTTCATGTTTCAGATATTATCACTGGTCATCATTAAGAGTAGAAATACCAAAGATTTTTATATTTTTCAAACAATAAATATGAAACACTAAAGAAAAACTCCAGAATGTTTGTGAGGTAAAAACATTCATCACACTAAAACTATTACTCCATCCCACTTTGTTTATTAAACATTCTTACACATATCACTCATTCACTTATTTAATACTCATCCAGGTATATCTTAAAGTTGAAGAAATAGAATTTAAATGACTTTCCCAAGGTCCCAGATCATGTATGTTACATAGCTGAGGCTTGAATGCAACTTCCCCATGGTTGAATCAAGAACCTTTTGATTAGAAATTTAAATTTTAATCAATAGATGATATTGGGTTGGGATTATGGTGGCATATAAGTATCTGTTAAAATCCTGAGATCCATCAAACCCCAGAATGGGATTGATAAATTTATTCATTTATTTTATTTTATTTTTTAGAGACAAGGTCTTACTCAGTCATCCAGGCCAGAGTGCAGTGGCCCTTGAACTCCTGGGCTCAAGGGATCCTCCTGCCTCAGCCTCCTGAGTAGCTGGAACTATAGTCACATGCCACTAAGCCCAGATAATTTTTTTTAAAACAAATTTAAAAACCAAACATAGTTTATTATAAGATGGCAACTTAAACCTTGTTAGCATAGTAACTATTATTTAACTAAGAGCAATCGGAATTAAAATCCCAATGGGGTTCTTCTTAGATTTTGACAATATAAATTCTAAGGATCAGCTAGAAGTTTATCCAAGAAAAATTTTCAAAACTCAGAACAATCAGGAAGGCTGGCACTGGCATTACTAGATATTAAATGAAAGCCTCAAACATTAGAATGGCATAAAAACTGGTATAAAAGTATAATAGTAAAGCAGAACAAAGTCCCCCAAACAAAGTGTATAAAAGTTTACGTAAAGCTGGCATTTCAAATCACTAAGGAAAGTAAAAATTTTTTAACAAATTATGCTAGGATAATTTTGTTGGAAAAAAAAAATCAAGTTAGATTTCCCAAGTCATATATCAATGATTTCAGATAAATTAATAATGCTCAGATACAATGTTGGTATGTATTTATAGTCATAAGATATACTGATGTTCATATAATATGAAGAACCACTTCTATGCTTAATATCAAAGGTAAAAAACCATAAAACAAAAAAAAAAGCTGATAGATTTTACTAGATAAAAATTGAAACACCTATGTCCTAAAACAATGCAAACAAGATTAAAAGCTAAAAACAAACAAACAAGAAAAAACAGGAAAAAATTATTTGTAATATACAGAAAAAAGATTCATCTATCACTACATGTTAGAAAGAGAAAGTCAAACATCCAATAGGAAAATGGACAAAAGATATTAAAACATGTCATAAGAGAAAAAAATTAAA